GGACAGGCCTTGTCTGTTCTTTTAATTAAACTTGTTTGAATGAATACTTGATGCCTAAAATATATATATATATATATATATATATATATATATATATATATATATATATATATATATATATATTCATTCATCATCACAGACAAACGCACATGCACTCATATATATGTTTGAACCAAGCAACAACAAAAAGCCAGAAATGAAACCCATAATATTGATATCCAGTATTGGCGGGAAAATATAGCAACCTGTTTATTACCCAAAAGAAACGTTAAATACTATTTTTGTTTTTGCATATCTAACTCCTGATCATGCCAGAATAGACTTTGCACTCAATGTCACACCAGACCATTTAGGTATCCCCGTGCGGATACACATGACCGGGCCAGTTTTATTTGGGAAAGAACTGTATTACACACATTTATATAAACATCCAGCCTAGTGAAAAAGTGGGGTGTCCCAAAGACATTGCCAACAAGCATGTATGGTCAGGGTTTCGGATGAGTTGCTACGAGGTCGTATACACACACTAACAGCAATTGACGAAAAACCAGAGGGCGATAAAAGGTATCGTTAAATGTGAGAGCTTAAATCTCGTATTTTCATTAAAATGTATAACGTGTTTTTATTATTCGACAAAACGACTTTATTACATTTTTATGCAGTTGTATATCTGCCTGTTTTTATGGACGCACGCTTGCTATTGTGTTTGTATCAATGCGTGTTTGTAGGATGTTGAATATTATCCGAACAAAAGTGAAGATAATGTAACAAAGTTGCCCAGACAACGCGTTTCACCTGTTTATAGTAGGCGCCTTCAGAGAGGAATGAGAGACAAACTCGTTTGTCGGTGTTGGAATTTTGAGGAAGAGTTAACAAATATCTTTATCAGATACAACAACCAGAAAGTTTTTTCTTTCCCCATTAAAGCTGTTAATGTCTGTTGGATTTGAAATTGGCCAACTTTCAATAGATATTTGTCTTCTTTAACTCTGTTAGCTTGTAGACCATATTATGCAACTCGAGAATTGCGACATCAGTGCATTTTCGATGTTATTTCTTTTCCCTTCGAAAAAGACTGAAAATTTTAAGTCGTAGCATCCGATGAAGATATTAATTATCACTTCCTCAAAATTCCAACAGTTACACACGGGTTTATCTCTCATTTCAATCTTAATGCGGCGTCTATTTCAAACACGGGTATCCACCTAAAAAAAATTGAATTAATAATAATAATAATAAATATATATATGTGTGTGTGTATGTGTGTTGTGTGTTATTTTGTATGTACAGTACTTAGTGAAAGCGCTCAATATCAGTGATAGAACGAACATATTCAGTTATATGCATATGAGTTTTTGATCCACTGTTTTACCTTTTGTGATCATCAGACAAACTGCAGTTTGTCTGATGATCACAAAAGCGTAAAACAGTGGATATATATAATATATATATATATATATATATATATATATATATATATATATATATATATATATGTATGTGTATATATATATCTGTATATGTATATACATATATATATATATGTATGTATATATATATATAAAACATTGAAGGAAACACGGCCTGACAATTGCGTCTAGCATGAAACAGCCTGTCGCCTCTGAGTGTTGACTTCAATGTTCACTTTCGTATCTATAAATATATTTATATCTATAAATATAGCACACCCTAAAACTATATTCCTTCATATATATATATATATATATATATATATATATATATATATATATATATTCAGGCCATCCTGAAGATTGTGTTCAAGCACGAAAAAACTGTCGCCACGCGGTGTTAGCCATAGAATGATTGCCAAGATGAACTGTTTCAAGGTTTTATTCGAATTTTAAAAGGCTACTATCTGTATTTATTCTAAAGAATGTTGCCAAC